AAAAAAACAAAAGAAGAAGAGGAAATCAGATTACATGCGTTTCAACTCACCATTAATGTAGTGGAGAATAAATTAAATTTTAAATAGCTCTGATTCATATAAAAATCAAAATCAAAATCTTGCATGGATATCTCTTCAAATAAAAGTAAACCAAAGTTAATCAGAACAAAGGGAAATGCTACAGTCCGTTACAGAATCAGTACGTCGGGATTTGTAATTGTTAGATCTCATGTAATTATAGGGGATAATTGATATAACCGTTACAAATCCCAACGGAATTATTCCTTAACGGAATCGTAGCATTTTCCATAAATAAAATGATACATGACGGTCAACTCAAGGGTATTATAGGCATCCAAATTATTGGAATCATCTCTATAATGTACATAAAACTAGAGAATAATTCGTACAAGAAGATTATTGTAATATATAAAGAAGATTATTATAATATATACTTTATCTATGCACGAGCCATGCACAATATTTTATTTAAAATATACATGACAACGATGTATCAGACAATTATTTCATTGTTATTCACCTCGACCAAAATTTGTTCAAATTGTATATAGCTCAATTTTTTTTTTTTTTTCCTCAAAATTAGTTTAATTGAGTAAAATTTCGAAGTGTCACTACAAAAAAATTGTTAGATTCCAATGGAAAATCCTATGGTAATATATTCAATTGGTATAGTTTCCGTTGGAATGGTTCCAACGGAAATTCCAACGGAAATATTTCGTTGGAATGTGTTTTTCATTAGAATTTTAGATGTAATTTGGTGATTCTAATGACTATATTTCCAACAACTTTTAACCGTAGGAATTTCTGTTGGAATATGCAATTTTCATTGGAATTTTTATTTCCACCCCGTTGGAAAATTCACCGTTGGAATCGTCAAAATCCAACAGAAATTCCAATGGAAAACGCATTCCAACGAAATATTTTTGTTTAAATTTTCGTTGGAGTCCATTAAAAAATTTAAACGGAAATAATAATATTGAAATATTCGTTGGAATTGTCGTTGGAATAATTTTCTTAAAATAAATTTCCGTTGGAATTTCATCATTTTCTTGTAGTGACCCCTATCAAATGTAGTTTAATTTGAAATATAATTAATCAATAATAGTTTGTTAACTTTTAAAGTTGAACAATAAGAAGAATAATATTTATTGAAAATTCAAATTTTGATGCAAAATTATTGGGAACGTATATGCGGAAATGCTACGATCCCGTTACAGAATCATTCTGTTGGAGTTTGTAACCGTTATATAATTATATAATCGTCAGAGATAGTTGATCTAACGGTTACGGAATCATACCTTATAGTTATTTTTTTATTGCAATACATTCTATTTTTTTTTTCTTTTTAGTTTCATTCTAGCAATTTTTAAGAGGGAAAGAAGTAGTGGTGGCCAGTCAACGGGCCACGCCCGCCGGGCAACAGGCCCTCTAACACACGGCCCACGACTGGCCCGCTAAAAATCAAGGGCCGGTTCTATGAACCGGCCCAAACCGCCGGTTCACGGGTCTGGACGGTCCTAAAAA